AATCACATGTATTTTTCCTTTTGAGAAGACACAGGAGAGGACTGAGGGTGAGTTTGCCATGGTGACAGTGGAACAGTGTGAGAGGTTCACTGAGATTTCAATCAGATGCTGCAGTGCTGTGTGGCTGGTCCAGCTAGCTGTATGTACATCTCCCTCGGCCTGAGGAGAAGGTTCTGTATGGGTTACTGCATATCTTGAGGGATAAAGGTAGGTTTCAATGACGTGTTGGTATATAGGGCAATCAACAAATTTCAAGTGTGATCGGTCCATTGCTGTGGCCTATTTTTATTCCTTTTTAAAGCTTTAATGCTTGCATCAGTGTCTATTCTTGGGAGGCAGAGGCACAGGAGTGCAGTTGGGGTGGCTACAGCAATGCTTGGCTTGGGAAGGCTGAGTGTCTAGAACACGGCTATGCCAGGACTGCGCTTGGCTCCAGGCAGCGCCAACAGCTGCTCCTTTTTATGTATTTGAACAGTGTTTTCCTGGCAAGTAGTGAAAGAATTTGAAACTTTGCAGCAGGCTCTAATCCAAAGCTTCAGAAAACAAGGCTGGTGTTCAAGGTAGTTCTTCAGGGTAGCATTCTTCTTCATCTTCTGACAGGAGCATTGTACAACATTTTAAAGTTTAACATCTGGAGCCGAGAGCCGTGGGTTGTGGAGCACCTAGATAATACAGCCCTGGTTTGGCTTCAGGTCTTTGGATTGTTCTGCATTTCTATTTATAACAGCCCCATTACATACCAGAGTGCACAGGAAGGGCGCTTTCTTTACCATGTTGAAGTTTTTATTACGACATAATTTTGTATTTAATTTAGTTAAGGCAATTTACACTTTAGTTCTTAAGTAACAATAACAAAAAAAATAACAACAACAACAAAAAAAAGGAAAACCAGAGATGAAACTAAAACACAGGACACCCCTTCACAGTGAACTCCTGTAAACCTGCAGTCTTCTACTACTACTGCCCCAATGTTCTTGGTCCACAGAAGGCAAAAAACTAGTTTGCACTAGTACAACCTTGGATACTCATCTGGTGAGTTAAATAAAGAAATCCATCTCCTGGACTTTAGCTCCTCTTTACTGCACCACAGCGATGAACACAATTCTTTAAATGGAGAAGGATCAGCATGGAGCAGGTACAGCAAATACGATGGCTGGTTTGCAAAGATCCACATGTACTAGTGCCACTCTTGGAATAAGTTAAATATTGCAGCCCTACAGCTAGTTACACCACACCTGAGGTGGAGGCCATCAGAATGTAGCGCAAGGAGATAAAGATACAACCCTCCACATTTGCAAAATAAAGAGTTATTGCAATGAGGAATAAAAGTCCTGTATAATTTATCTTCCTACAAGGGCATTAGAGTAACGTGTGGGTCCAGGTATCGTGAGGAATCCTGGCCAATCCCTGGTTCCTGAATTGCTTACAAGCGCTCTAAGGAAAATGCTGACTGGGAAGCCCTTCTGCACGGTCCACCTTTCTCCGACAGTGATGTCCATGCACGGAACCCAGGAATAAGCAGCCTCGCTTGCTTGTGTAGTCCCTCGGTGGGCAAAGCCGATGCTTCTTCTCCGTCTTAGTGGTTCATGGTATTCTGGACGTCCACAAACCCCATCCTTTGTCTGCGCTTCCGTTGCTCTGTCATCTAGAGTTCAAACAGGGACATGAGTGAGGTAGGAAACCAGGCTGCCTTCCTATTCACTACTGTGCTCCGGGTGTGACTGACCAGGCTGCTTTAAGCATCTGCCAGAAGCCCCTGGGAGTTGGACTGGCTGATGAGGAAGTAAAGCATCAAAAACCACTTGTCCCAAGCATCCCTGTCCCCCCCGCAAAGGAGCTGCAAGAGCCCTTTGCTTTGTGTCTGAAGCTGTGATGGCTTGGGCTGGTTCTGCCTCCTGTTCCTCGCAATCGGCATCTATTTTGGTAAGGATAGTGAGTTTCTACCGTCAGGTGTTCCTGTTTTTAAGCATTTAGTACCTGTTCCTTCAGCTCATTCAGCTGGGAGGTGAGATGGGACACCAGCTTCATCGTGGTGTTGAGTTTGTCTTGAAGGTTTCGGATCTCATTCTGTTCCCCTTCCCCTTCATTGCTGACCAGCGACATGGCTCGCATCCGGGGGAACCAGTCAAGGTTCTTATTCTGGAAAGGCGACCATGGAGAATGGGAATTGGAGAGGGGGTGAGGAGGAGGGAGGAGACCTGGTAGGATTTGACAGGAAGCCTGCCTGTGCTTAGGGATTAAAGACATTCTCAAAGGCTCCTCTCCTCTGTATCTTTGCAAATTCTCTACTAATATCCCTTTCTAGCTTTTTTTTTTTTTCTTACAGCTCTCAGGGCTCAAGTTCAGAAGTTTATCTTTTCTAAATTTCCTTCCCCTCCTCCCTTCTGGCCTTGAAGTCACCCTCTCTACTGCTAGATCCTGCCCTTGGGTCTCTCCATAAACACACAGTACAAAACATCAAACAGACAACATGGCGTTGGCCGAGACGGCGAAGTGCAGAGAACCAGCTAAGAACAATCTAAGGCACCACCAACATTGTTAAACATTTTCCAGAAGCTCCTTTTCAAACCTGTTCTTCTTTGGCAAGTCCCTGGTTCCCAAACATTCCCCCAGGGCAGGCAGGTTGCAGTAGGGAGAGCTGCCCCGTGGAGACAGGTACCTTTATCATCTGTGCCACGTAACTCTCCGGCCCCGTGTAGTCTGTCTTGTTCTTCACTCGCACCAGCACTATGAAGTACAAGTAGTTCCACATGTTGTGCTCGTACTTAATGTGCTCCTCAAAGGACACCGTCTTGTTGTCAAACTTGTCCCTTTCGAGTCCTGGGAAAGGCGGTCAAGAAGGGAGATGGTGGGAGGGAGGGGAGGGAAGAAGTGAGCAAGCGAACAAATGTGAAGGGAAGCACAGCTAATTGCATCCTCTCTCAGGTGTGACTTTCCAGAAGTGCTTTTAATAATTAGTTGGCATTTAGCACACACAACAAGTGTCCAAAACAGGGGAAATAACGCAGTTGTGTATTCAGGAGGCTTCTATTTAAAGTACAGCAAGCTATGCTTCCTGCCTACGTATCTAAAAGCACAAAATGCACCCAGTGGAGCTTTTAAAAAAAAAAAAAAAACAAAAAAACACCCAGCTAGACTTATTGGGTTTTTCCCTTTTTTTGGATGCCTTCCTGTGACTGAAAGCATTCCAGAACATGTTCTGTATTTTATTTCCTTAGTAATATGGTTGGGTTTTTTTTTTTTTTCTTCCACTGGCTAAGTGATGGTCTCAGGAGTGAGAAGATGCACAGCGACAAGAACTCCGCGATGTGGCGTTTTAGTTTAACACTTCATTAACAGAAGGCGAGGAACACTACAGCCAATTTCCCCGCTCAGTTTGTGTCCTTGGTTAAGCCTCCTCACACTGCAGCGACCCCTCAGTGAACAGATTTAAGTTTCGCTGTGAACCAAATGAAAACCAGAAACCAGCTGAAACTCCTTTTCTTCCCTCGACCTTAGGAAGAGCTTTGGGGCGATTCCTATAGACCGAGGTCCCAGCGCTCACCACATATGAAGCAGGTAGTCTTCAGTATCTCCTCCTTCTTCTGCTTCTCGCTCCTGAGGTCAGCAAAAGTGTCAATAATGACCCCAAAGATGAGGTTAAGGACGATGATAATGACAATAAAGAAGAAGAGGAGGTCGTAGACAACTCGAGCAGGGAACAAGGACTCCTGTAATGGATGAAAGGGGTGAGCGTGTGTCTCTTGTGCACCGTTCCTCCAGCCACGCCGCCTGTGCGGCCGTGGGCTGAGGGTACCAGGAGTGGAGGAATAAGAGGGATGTGATAGGGGAAGAGATGGGGAAAGCACTGGGGGATAGAGCTGGATGTGTCGCAGCTCCCAGGGAGGGAGGGCAGCTGCACAGCAGTATATGCAGCAGGATTTAGCAGAAAAAAAAGGGGTCCCGCGTGCTGCCCAAACTCACATCCTTTGATGGCTTGCGCAGAATGTCACCCACGCCCCCGCCGTTCCTCAGGCCGTGGTTCAGGACAGTGACGATGCACATGAGCAGCGTGTCGCAGGCGCGCTCCCACTGGTCAGCGTCTGTTTCTAGAGAACCGGAGCGGGGAAACAAAAGCAAAAATGCCAGAGCATAGACAGGGCAGAAGTATGGCAAAGAATCCAGAGCTACAGGGATGACTTTTGCTGCAGTGGCAAATCTCCTGGGAGCAGATGCTCGTCATGGATCTCCCAACCAGCAACCTCCCAGCAGCTCCTCCAGCTTGCTGCTTGCTGTGGAGGTGTTTGGCTGAGTGCTCCTGAAGCTCCCACTTGCTTTATGACTAAATTGAATCTACAGCAACGTTTTTTATGCCAGGGTCAGTGCAAAATTTACAGGCCTCTTGCCTAATACATGCCAGAAAGTGGGCTGTTTCCATCTTTGAAAAGTTAGGATTTTTCTGAGCTTGCTGACGAACCAGGCAGCCCATCCACT